ACCTTATTTACGGGCACAGGAATTTGAATTTCGTATAAATTCACGTCATCCGTATTCTTCTTCAGCTGATTTTTTAAATTATTAAAAAATGTAAAAACTACTCTTAGTTCACAAGCTGGATTTGGCCCACGGGCCATAGGTCATAGTTGGCCTGCCCCTGGTCTATGTGTTAGAGATGCAGGTACCGACCTGTCCCTCCCCCCTCCCCCCAGTAGGAGTCCATGGTGCAGATGGAGCCTCCCGGAGCCTGGGAAGGCGGGGGGGGGGGGGGGGGCTCCTTCACGGCCCTCATGCTACTTTGCCCCCACCAAGGTCTGTGACGACATCTTAAAAGCCGCTCTTGCACCCTGGGGAGGGGTGGGCAGTGGCATCTCAGTTCCAAGCCCTGGCATTTAAAGCTCTAATTCCTCTAGGCTAAATCTCAAAGACTACCGAGACCCAGTACGCGTGCCTAACAACAGTTGGTGATCCAGCGATCCAGCATGCTGGGGGAGTTCTGACCTGGCGTTGGAGTGGAATGCAGGCAGGAAGCCTTGCTTCTCCTGATTTAGAGGTTATGTGGGTTGGGTTTGAAGCATGGCGAACATTTGTTTCTTTCTGAGGGGAAAAGCCACAGCAGACTAAAGGACTGACGGGGGAGGGGTTCCTGGACCAGAAGCAATCCCCATCTGGATGTCTGGGGCAGCCTCTCTGGAAGGTGCTCCTGGCCAGCAAGGTTCACCTGGGGAAATGGCCTCTGCTGGCCCAGACCCTCTGGACCTCACACTCAGCCTGCCCCCACCTCCCAGCCTCTCCTCTTCACCCTGCCCGATGACTGTCCCTCACCCCTCATGACTTTCCAGTATGATGCATTTGTCATAAAAGCCCCTTCAGGGCACCAGGAGGGCCCCAATTTCTCGCTCTATCAAATCCAAATCCCTCTGCTTGGTTGCTAAGGACCCCCCCCCTCAGACCCCGGAATGACCCTCTCCCAACCTGCACAGGGGACCTACTGTGACCCCTCCAACTTGTACCATCCTTTGCACACCTGTATATGCCCTGCATCCCAGAAACCCCCACTCCTGCCCACTGTCACATCTGGCCACGTCCAGCCTTGACGCTGGTGTAAAGAGATCTTGGGGGTGCCTGGTGGGCTCAGTCAGTAGAGCACACAATTCTTGATCTCAGAGTAGTAAGTTTGAGCCCCACGTTGGGGGTAGACCTTGCTTAAGAAACAAGAGAGAGAGACCTTGCAGTGGGGTCACAGAGGAGCTATTTAATTGTGCCTTAGTTTCCTTATCTGTAAAATGGGCGACATAAGAGCACTAACGTCATGGCATTGCCAAGGCTTAATTAGAACCTGCACATCAAGCATTTCCCTGAGTTGTGTCAGAGGTGCCCCCGTGTTTTCCAGAAATGGGAGCAGCAAACCCTGTCTGACTCCAGATTACATTCCCCTCTTCCCTCTGTAAATCTTTCAACTTACCATTTGAATTACACAATACCATGAACTGTTCCTGGGTAAGGCGTCTCATCGCCCCATTTAGGCTACAAACCTATAAACCTTCTGTACCACACGCCTTACACAGTTCCTTGGCTCCCACGGAGCCCCTGGCACTCCACAGCCCTGAGTCTGGACGCCATTTTCTTTTCAGTAATCGATTGAAACTGCCACACACTGCTGAGCCCTTTCTTTCTTTTGTGAGGGTCTTCGGGGGGGAAGGCTGAAGACAAGTTATCTTTCCAATACAGCGCTCTCTCTGGGGGGCCAGCAAAGAATCTGATTGCTAAAGAGCTGGCCTGGAGACGCTCAACAGCATCATATATTTAAGTTCCAAAAAAGAAAGGGCTTTGGTTAAAATGAATCTCCGAGCGGCAGCTGAGTTCTTTTTTTGTTGTTGTTGTTAAGATTTTAATTTATTTGTCAGAGAGTGAGCACAAGCAGGGGCAGTGGGAGAGGGAGAAGCAGACTCCCCCATGAGCAGGGAGCCCGATGCGGGGCTCGATCCCAGGACCCCGGGATCATGACCTGAGCCGAAGGCAGACGCTTAACTGACTGAGCCACCCAGACGTCCCCAGCAGCTGAGCTGTAAGTGGACGGGAGAGTGCCATCTGGGTGGGAGTTGGCCTCCACCAAATCCTGACTGTCGCCCGAGGCAGAGGCCTTCCAGGAAGGCCCCAGAAATCCACACGTGGCAGGCCCTGCCGGCTGTTTCCATGAGCTTCAAGAATCCAGGCTCCCCACCCAGAGCCCCCAAGGTGTGGCCAAAGGTTAATGGGCTCCTAAGGGAGGGCCAGAGGGCCCATCAGACCAGCCAGATACCAGATATAAAGACCGGTCCAATCAGCCAGATACCAGAAGACAAGGAGAGACTGACTCCGCCAGTTCCACTCACACCGTGCTGCTGTGAGTAGCCATAGAAGGGGGCGGGGGGGCGGGGTTCTGCATGAGCCCCAGGGCAGAACAGTGGTGTGAGCAGGGCCAGCCCAGTCCAGAGATCTCCCCTGTGTCCCCCCTGCCACCTTCCAATACTTCCCTAGGCTTCGGACTGAAAGCACTGAGCCGATTTCCAGAGTAGCGGGTTAAAGCCACACACAGTGTGAGCAAAAGTAGGATTGCCCCGAGGCATGGAAGCTGGAGGGAGGAGAGGGTGGGTACAATTCCTGGCAAAAGGGAGGCTGTCTGGGGTGCGTGGTGCCGTTGACTGCAGGCCAGAAACCCAAGCCAGAGCTCAGCATGGACACAGGACCCCACGTGGCACGGAGGCTTCGCTCTGGAAAGTCAAGTGTAAAGCTGGTCCCTAGGGAGACTGTGTGACGAGGCCAGACTCACCAGGGCCGGGGCTACTGTGGGAGGGGAGGGAGGAGATAGGCGCCCCCTCATCCAGAGCTGATGGCTTGAAGGCTGGAGCCCCATCCCTGGAGATGGAAGAGGGAAGTCAGTATCTCATCACACAGTGAAAAGCTCTCCCACTCCGAGCTCCCAGGAACACAAATGAATGTAGGTGACATGCCAACTGCCAGTTGGATCAAGAAAATGAGCAGCAATTGGATTTTGCCTTTTTTTATTTAAAGTTTTTATTGATTCTTATGGAGGGAATTAAATGAGAACACCAGAATGAAAAGGGCTCTGTAGCATCTCCGTGAAGGAAATGGGACGCCATAAATGTGACACATCCATCTCCACTGGGAGGGAAGTTGGGGCCCCACAGACTCCAGAGGGAAAGGATAGGAACAGAGAGGGGAAATAATGATTGGGAGCCCTCCATCCCCATCCATCCTCTGGTCCGCTCCAGATCCTCCCGGGGTCCCGGACAGGGTCTCGGCTTCCCCAGAGGTGGCCTTCAGTGGGTGGGCGGTCTTCTGACCCTCCTAGGAATTTGCTGGCATGTAGCTGGCATGGGAGGCTTTGGCTGTGTGGGCTCTCACATTCTTTCTCACGGAGTGTTAGCCGGATGGAGAGAGAAAGTAGGACGGGGACAGGAAGGTCAAAAGAGGCAGAGGGAGTGTCCAGCTTAGTAGAGGTGGCTTCAGATGACTGAGGAGAAGGGTCCTGGAGGAGAGGCAGGACGCAAGCCCACAGCTTTGAACAATTCTCTCCAGAGGGGTAATTGGGGTGGGACCTGCCGAGAAGCTTGGAGGCCAGTCCAGGGCAGGACCCTCTCCTGCCAACAGAATCCAGGCTGCCCTAGGGCCATGGGAGCCCCGAGCTGACTCCCTGAAGCTCTTTATCTACAACCCTATAATCACCCCCACGCCCCCTGCCGCAGAGGCTGCCCCTGGTCTCCTCTCCTTGCTCTGGGGCCTGGCCCCTGCTCTCAGCAGGCCACTCAACACAGGAATGTTGGGGTCCAGATAGCATTCCGCAGGGGGCAGCCCCTGCCATGCCCTTCTCCATCTTCTGTGGGCACGGGGCCAAGCAGCAGGCCTCAGAAGCCAGCCTTCCAGCCCCCACCACCTTTGAATGAGTCTTCTCACCCGTCTAGGTCTCCTCCCCTCCCCAGATTGCACCTGCTCCCAGGTGAGTGCGCAGATCGTGTGGGAGAGGGCTTGGAAGAGGGCACCGTGCACCAGGGTAAGGAATCAACTGAGGCTGGCGCCCAGTGGGCAGCGCCCTCCCCCAACTCCTGCCACAGGACCACCCAGACCCGGCCCAGAGTCTGCCCAGCTGAGCCCATTTCTTAAGCCTTCGCTCTCCTGGGGGCACCACGCCCACCTGTTTCCTGGCAGGTGTCTGCAGCCCCCCTTCCTGCCACCAATCCAGACACACCCACTTCCTGGGACCCCGGAGGCACCACACATGCAAGCAGGCACCCCCAGCACTCATGGCACTCTGTGTGGGGGGGTGGAGGTTGCAGGGAACGGATGTGCTCCCTGTTGTTTCTAAACGACCAACAGGCAGCTAACCGGAGCTCAGGAGAGGCTCATTCTAGAGTTCTAGAGCCAGTGCTGGCCCCCAGAGGGGTGGAGACCCCACTCCCAGCTCTTGGATTCTGTTCCCTGCTGAAATTTTCCATTTGGCTCTGCCTCCATCTGGGCAGAGGGTTCCAGCCCCTTCTTCTCCAGACCCAGGGTCTTTGCCTGGTGCTCTCGGGGAGAGCCGGGGTCATCTGGGCCTTGGCCCATCCCTTTAGTCATCCTCATCAGCTCAGGGAGCAGGGAGGGCTCAATGGGGGCACAATTCTGTTGATAATCTAGTCTTTCTTCTGAGACATGGGGCCTTCCCCATTTCATGAGCTCCGCTGGTCCTGGAAGACCTCAGCTTTAACAAAGAGGGGGGCTCACATGTGGAATGCTTCTCCCCCAGAGTGTGGCAGGGGCCGGGCCACCTCTCCCAGGTGCTCGCTCACTGCCCCCCACCCCGGCCCTGCGACAGAGAAGGGACTCTGAGCTCCTCTGGTCAAGCCCCCACCCGGCCCACATCAGGAGAGGCTAAGCGGCTTGCTCAAGGTCACAGCTACAGGCTGGGTGTGCACCCTAAACCTGATGACGAGAGCTTCTTGTCGCTGTCCAGCTCCAGGATGGTGTCCCGGAAGGCTGTGGCGGTTCTGCTGCTGGTGCACGTGGCTGCCATGCTGGCCTCCCAGACAGAAGCCTTCGTTCCCATCTTCACCCACAGTGAGCTCCAGAAGATTCGGGTAGGAAACCACCCCCACCCCCCCGGCTGCCTGCCTCGCCCGTGTGGCCCAACTGACACAGAGCCCTGCTCAGCACTCAGGTGGCCTTCATCTCTCTAAGGCACAAGTGTCCCTTTGGTGAACCCATGTTTAATCAGCTATGCCAGCCCCACTGAGGACAGCACGAAGGACGGGGACCCAAGCTAACCCCAGACTCCAGGTGTCTCCCTGCCACTTTCACTCCTCCCTAGCACCACTCAAAGGTGCCTTTTCCCACCCCCGCCCGTCCTTCAGAGGAGATTTTCAATTAACAAGCCAATAAATATTTGCTGAGCATCTCTACAGTACAAAGGGCCACCCTGGGTGAGAGGCCAGCCATACAAGGAGATCTAAGAACCTCCACCTCCAAGGAGCAGGCTCAGGAGCCAAGATACAAACACATGAAAAATTCACTAACAATAGAAAACAAGGGAGATGTCAGAGGCAGGACATGATTAATTGCCCAGCAAGTGACGCTGATGGTTAAGTGCTAAGTTCGGAGGAGGGAGAGGTCTCCGCGGGCTGGCGCATGTCGGCAGCCGACAGGGAAAAGATGAGAGCAGAGCTGGGGGTCTTCAGAGAGAAGGAGGGGAACTCGGTGGGCCCAGAGTGGGAAAGAAGATGCTGCCCCATGGAGTGCTGGCCAGAGCCTCCTCCTCTTGAGAACCCAGAAGAAAACCAGTCAGGCTTAACAGAACTCAGGAGGCGGGGTCTCCAGAAAAGTGGACTGCCAGACCTGGTTCCCGTGCCTTCTACTTGAGATGTCAAGGGGTTCTGAGTATCTTGTGCAGATAGTTGTTTCTCTCTAACCTGAGGTGATGAAGAGACGGGACTTTAGTGTCCCACCTGTCTGAGACCAAGGCTCCACTAGGGACAAATCCACCAGGAATCAGTTCTCTGGGAGGTCGTGTGGCCTCTGGACCTACATGCTCTGTCTGGGGCAGGCTGCCACAGACCCAGTGAGCAGTGTCCTCTGCAGAGGCAAGGCTGGCCCCAACCACCCTTCATGGAAATGAGGAGGGGATGAGGCAGGCTCCCTAAACACACTTCCTCCACCACCAGCTTCCTCCCCAGAGGAGACAGCCCATTGTTCTAGAATCACCATGTCTCAGGCAAGGCCCGGAGCTGAATCCCAAGGGTGCCATTAGAGAAACCAAAGGAATGAGGTGCGTCTGATCTCAGTGCCCTGGGACCCGGCAAGCAGGACACCACATAAGATTTGGGGCAGAAATAGTCAAACTCAGTAGAACATAAACTAGCAAAATGGCAACCAAAGGGCACTTTGCATTAATCCACTCAGTGGTTTTGCTCCTCATAATTGCCAGGCACCAGGATTTTTATGAAGAAGCTGCAATCTCCTTCCTCCATAATTCATCTCCCTGTCTCGCCTCTTATAAATCACCTCCCAGGGACTCCAGTTTCTGGGCCACCCTATGGTGCCCTCGCAGGCTAGGCTGTCTTGCCACCCTTTTTATAGGCTATCTGCTAAGAAAAACACATTTTCACACTTAATATGCATGAAGGGCAGCCATTATTTTCAGCATTTTAACTTAATTAACAGTAATAAGCTGGGTGCGGTGTTGGAACGACAAAGGACTGGATTCTTCTGCAAATTAGCCTGTTGGTGGACAACTTGGAAGCCTTTTGTGGCCGTCGTGCTTCCGGGACTCCTCGTTGTAGAGGGACCAGGGGAGAAGGAATTCTTTCAGTCTGTGGGAAGCTCAGGCCACTTAGCACCCTGGACAGAGACAGGCAAGTGCCATCTGGGCAGTTGGGAAACCGGGGTTTTGTTCGATTTTGTGCTCTGCCCTTAGGAAAAGGAGCGCAACAGAGGTCAAAAGAAGTCCCTGGTTTTACAAAAGAGGTCTGAGGAAGTGGGGCCTCTGGACCCTTCGGAGCCCACAGAGGAAGAAGAAAACCAAGTTATCAAGGTGAGCAGACAGGGTGACAATACAGAGAAACCTAGTCGGGGGGCGGGGAGTGGCTCCCCCGGCCAGCCACAGATTGTGCTAAGATACAGCAGCGAACCAGATATTCAGGCAACAAGCCCCATCCTAGGAGAAAGGGAGACAGACACCAACAATGAGACAATAAACCATTTCAGGCACCAAATAAGGAGGGAAGATAGAGAATGATGGGGGAGCGGGGCTTGGGGGCACTGCTTTGGCTGGTGGAGGGCTCAGGGAAGGCCTCTCAGAGGAGGCAACATTTATTTGATTTGAAACCAGAATGATGAGAAGGAGCCTCTCATGCAAAGAGCTAGAGTGAGAACATTCCAGAAGGAAAAGTAAGTGCAAAGGCCTTGCTCAGGAAGCACATGGTATGTGTGAGGCCCTCAAGGCCAGGGCATGCCAGGAGAGGACAAGAGGTTGGCAGGGCCTGGTGGTCTAGGCAAGATGTCTAGAAGGTCACTGGGGGTTCAAAGCAGGGAAGTGACCTGATCCGACTTAGGAAGATCTGGAGCAGCACAAGTGGAGGCAGGAGACCAGTCCAGAGGCAGCTGCAGTCTCAGGGGACAGGTGATGAGGGTGCCGGTTCTTCCCCCTAGCAAGGAACCTGGGAGACAACCACAGTGTCAAAACCCCCAGGTCAATGCTGCGTTAGGATGCACAGACTGTCGTGGCGGGAGCCAACCTTGAGTGTGTCCAGGGCAGCTCTTTAATTTCACAGACTCATTTTTCCAGGCAGTAAGTACTTACTGAGCCCTAAGTGTGAAGCACGGTGCTGGGCCCTGGGGATAGAGTGGTGAACAAAACAGATAAATCCTCTGAGCTCTTTGAGCTCACACTCCAGCAGAGGGCCAGTAATGAGATACCAGAAGGACCAGCAATGACTACAAATAGGATAAATAAACAACCTTCACAGTGTGGCCAGTAGTGACAGGTGCCATGGAGGAAAATAAGACAGAGAATGGAGATGGATGAGTTGCAATTTAAATAGGGTGGTCAGAGCAGGCTTCATGAGTATTAGCACGGAGACCTGGAGACAGTGAGGCACTGAACCACAAAGATGTCTGGGGGAAGAGCATTCCAAGCAGCAGGAGTCATCAGTGCAAAGGCCCTGAGGCAGGAGTAGACCTAGTGCATTCTGGGAACAGTGAGGAGGCTGGAGTGGCCGGGGCAGAGGGAGTCAGAGAGAAAGTGGGAGGTGAGCCCAGACCGTGGACTCTGTAGGCTATTGTTTGGACTCTGCTTTCACTCTGCTGAGATGGGAGCCACTGGGGGCTTTGGAGCAGAGGAGGGATGTGATCAGATTTACATTTTAAAAGAGTCTCCCCAGGGGCGCCTGGGTGGCTCAGTCCGTTAAGCATCTGACTCTTGATCTCAGCTCAGGTCTTGATCTCAGGGTCATGAGTCAGGGTCAGAGGACCTAGAAGGATAGGTTCACCACTCATGGAGACGGTGAAGCCTCTGGTTGGCTGTAGGATGGCAGGATGAAGGTCAGGAGGTCAGACAGGAACTGTAAACCATAAGACGCCTGGTGGGCGATCAGGTGGAGGTGTTGCCCAGGCGGGCAGATACAGACGACTGGCCTTCAGGAGAGCTTAGGGCTGGAGGCATCCATGTGGGAGGCATCAGCAATTAGCTGGAATTTCAAGCCAGGACCGGGTGAGATCCTGGACGGGGTGGGTGTGGATGGAGAAGAGAGGGGGTCCCGGGACCGAGAGGGGGACATTCCCTGGGTAGGGGAGCGGGGGGGAGGAGACTGATAGGTAGAGAGAGTGAGGGCCTTGCCAGGGTGATACAGCAGTCAGAGCAACACTGAGCTGGACTCCAGGCCTCCCGCCTCCCGCTGGACACCTGCCAGGAGCAGGTGGCCACAGCATGCTGTCCAGAGACAGGGAGGTCAGTCATGGCCCAGAGAGGGACCTCGGGTTTAGGGGAGTATGCCTTCCCTTCCCACTCCTTGGGCTCCCCAGGAGGAACTGGGAGTGACTGGTTCAGCTGGCAAAGGGGAGCTCTCCCGGAAATGCCCGCTACCTGCACCCTGGGCAGTGTAAGGCACGTGTTGCAGCCTGTGGAACATCTCAGGGAGGCTGTTCCTTCTCCCTAGAACAGGCTATACGGGTCAGGAGGTCCTTTCCAGATCATTCCCTCCAGCCTCTTCATTTTAAGGCGAGGACACTGATGCGTAGAGAAAGGCATAGCACAGCCAGGGGATGGCGAGGGCGGGGCTGGAGGCCGGAACCCACAGCAACCGGACCCGACCCTCCCAGGGTCCTTCAGGCAGCCCCAGTCCATTTCCCAGCCAGGGAGCCCCCGGGACTCCTCCATCACAGCTCTCCAGACAGGCAGGGAGTCTCGGCTGGCGTGTGAACCAAGACCACTGAACCAGGGAGCTCTGGGGGTGACGGCAAGATCAGTCAGCAACCCCCTACCCCCCTGCCGGCTCAGCCACAACAACCACTCTTGGTGACGAACCTCCGGATGGCTCCTCTGGGGTCTTGTCTGTGTTCCCACAGTACCAGAGAAAGTCTCATCCAGTGGCACAGACCTTGGAAGTCAGGCCCCCTGGGTGTCACACCTTCTCCCTCTACTACTTAGTACCTGTGTGGCTTTGAGCAAGTTACTCTACCTCCTTGTCCTCAGGTTCCTCATCTGCAAAATGGGCACACCACTAGTCTCTACCTCATAGGGTTACTGAGATGCTTCATACACATAAAGCGTTTGGAATGATGCCCCTGCTCTAAGGCTCCAGGCTACAGCGATCCTTATTCAGGAGAAGGGGGAGGGAGAGTTTCCTGCCGACCCCTCCCCTCCTGTCGCAGCTTCCCCACTGGGGGAGGTTTGTTGATTCTCCTCCCAGCAAGTCTTGGGTGACTTCCAGGATCCAGCCCTCTGGCTTGAGTTGGGGGGCGGGGAGCTGCCAGAATTTCCTGGCTGGCCCTGGAAGTCCAGAGGCTCCCGGAGGACTGATCGGGAAGAAGGGGCCGCCGCAGAGCCATGTGGCTCCTGGCAGTCCCTCCTGCCACCTATAAGGCACCCAGGGGTTAATGGCGCTCTCCGTGTCTCTTCCTTCTTGTTAACTCTGCCTTATTTCACAGCTGACTGCTCCTGTGGAAATTGGAATGAAGATGAACTCCAGGCAGCTGGAAAAGTACCGGGCCGCCCTGGAAGGGCTGCTGAGTGAGGCGCTGCTGTCCACCCAGAACGGTAAGGGGAGGCGGGCGCCCCTGCGGCTGGGGCCTGGCCTCATCCACCCCGTTCATATTACAGGAGCGCATCTGAGAGCCGTTTGGGGATGGCGATTTGTTTTGCCGCTTTGCACTTGAGAACATGAAGCTGTCTTCTCGGGAAAGGGTGCCCCTGTCTCTGAGGGGAGCCTCATCACAGAGGCTCTGATAGCTACTGGGGACCACAGAGGCCCAATTCCCCAGCCAGGGGCATCTCAAGGCCCTGCCCCAATGGCTCAGGCCCCTGTCCCGAACACCCTCCTGGCAGAACAGGCCACAGCAACACACCCACCCCTCCCCCTGCTCCAGATACATTCATTCCCTCCCCCAAACACCACAAGGGCTGGGCGGTTCCTCTGAAGGGAACTCTGGAACCTTCTGGCCCCAAAAGTCTGCATTTTCTTCATCTGTTCTACAAATCCAAGTGCGAGCTCCACGTGGCCTTGCCTGGTTCAAGGTCTGCCCAAGCAACTTGTGCAAAGCTAGGACCTGTCTGACAAACAGCCACTAATTACTTCTCATAGTCCCCAGGAGGAGGAGAGAGAGGCAGGGAGGAAGTGTTCGGGTTGGAAGAACCAGAAGTTAAATGACTCGCCCCAGGCTACAGAAAGCTAGAGGCAGAGCTTCCAGATGCCTGGCCAACCCTCCCCCTGGGGATGCCCCCGCCTCCCTGGGTCCACAGGCAGGTTTAGAAGTCAGTTTCTTTCTTTTTTTTTTTTTTAAGATTTTATTTATTTATTTGACAGAGAGAGAGACACAGCGAGAGAGGGAACACAAGCAGGGGGAGTGGGAGAGGGAGAAGCAGGCTTCCCGCCGAGCAGGGAGCCCAATGCAGGGCTCCAACCCAGGACCCTGGGATTATGACCTGAGCCGAAGGCAGACGCTTAATGACTGAGCCATCCAGGCGCCTCAAGAAGTCAGTTTCATAAGTGGACCTGCTGATGTTCCTGAGCTGCAAACCCCCTCTGCTTTTCCCCAGCAGATGAGTGACAGCCTGCTCCAGGGAGAAGGTGGACGAAAACCAGGAGCCCCCCTCCCACCCGCGGGAGGCCCTGAAATCTGCATGCCCCACAGCCGGGCTCCGAAGGAAAATGCTCTCTCCAAGGCAAGCCCCCCTCCAGCAAATAAAGCAGGAAATCTACAGAAACGACTCTTTTATTTAATATTTTAATTTGTAAAGGTCAAACTCAGGTCATTCCATAAAGGGGGAAAAGAAATAAAGCTCAGAGGGAACTGGCCATAAATGGTGGTTCGTACAGGAGCAAAACGTGAGCTTTTTTTTTTTTTTTAAGATTTTATTTATTTATTTGAGAGAGAGAGAGTGTGAGAGATAGAGCGCATGAGAGGGGGGAGGGTCAGAGGGCGAAGCAGACTCCCCGCTGAGCAGGGAGCCCGATGTGGGACTCGATCCAGGGACTCCAGGATCATGACCTGAGCCGAAGGCAGTCGCTTAACCAACTGAGCCACCCAGGCGCCCAAACGTGAGCCTTTGATAAATTCCACGTTCAAATATGAAGTCAGACCCACGGAACTGGAAGATTTGTGCCCCTGAGGAAAGATGGCATTTTCTGCCCAACACACCAGTCAGTAGCAGAGCAAGGACTAGAATTCAGGTCTCCTGAACCCCGGTCTACTTTCTGTTTATTGATAAGCTTGAGGTCTAATGGGCCAGAGTTGTAAGACTTCTGCACTCAACCCCTTGCTGAGTAACCTCCAGCTAGCCCTTTCACCTCAATGAGCCTTTGCAAACGCAAGGTGGTAACATGTGCCTTGAGTTCGGGGGGGACAGGCACCAGCAAATAACTATTATTATTATAATCTTGTGACCACACGCTCCAGCATCCGCAGCAAAATTCCACAGCCAACCCACTTATTTCTGCCTTCTAAACAAAACTTGATGGGAAATTTCATTCTAATTTAATTTTGCATTAATGAATGTCCATTTATTTATCAACCGGGGCCTTATAGGAACCATAACTTCCTCTAGCCATAGGTTACCAGCAATTTGACATGCTGCCCCTTCGGCATTTCCACCCACCCCAACCATTGCGGGAGCTTAGCCACAGATTGTAGTTAGCGGAACAAGACGAGCCCAACCCTTAGAAAGGACGGTCCTTTGGGGTGCTCTGAGTGCTCCTGAGGGACACCCAAACCTTCCATGGGACCCAAACCCTTCATGCCGCACAGTCACACAATTTCCCATGCACGTACTGATCAGCCCAAGCACAGCTGCAGGTCCCTGGGAAATGCTGCCAAGACACCCTGTAATGAATGGAGGGAGGGCTACACAGCAGGGGAGGAAAAGGAGGAAGAAAGGCGGCAAAGTCTACAAAGCATGCAGTTGGGAAGAACCGGATCCAAGACCCCTCCTCGCCCTTCGGAGCTCCGCCGTGCCATTCACGCCATTCCCCAGAACCTACTCCAAAAAGCAGACAAGCAAAATGCTCACTGTCTCTTTCTAGGCGGAAAACACAGCTTTTGTGTCTTTTCCTCACTCTCTGCTCAGATCTGTCGCTACAATGAGCCTACCTTCCCCCATCACCAGAGGGGGGCGCTCACCTTCCCCCACCAAGGTCCCAGACTCCCCACACCCCACCCCATGCCCACCACCCTGCTGGAGAATTTTCCTTAAGATCCTGGGGTTAGAGAGCAGCATTGAAATAGGTACCAAGAAGGAAATGAGACCCCTAGGTGACTGTGACCCAGGCGGTCTGCATTTCTGAAAATGGGAATTGGTTCCGTAGCCACAGCACCTAGGTGACACGAGGGCGCTGTTCGTTCTGCAGAACAGCCGTGTTCAAAGCTCAGTGCTGCGCCCGGTTGTCCCTGACCCTCACTCAGTGGCCTCTGATGTGCTTCTCAGTAATGAGCCGCAACAGGGACCCAGCGGCCACCTGCATCTGTATGCACAGTGCCCCAGCCGCCTGGTTAGATGTGTCGGCTCCTTTCTTCTCTCCTTTTCCTCCTTCCGCTGCTGTTCAATTTCTCACCATCGGCTCAAATAATTCTTTTTCTCCAACGAGTTTCTCCAGTTTCCAGGACAGCAGACTCGATTGCTTCTTACAAGACATGCAGAGCCCTGGAAGAAATTAAAACTGGAGGTGTGGGGGGGGAATAGTGTGAGCTGAGCGGAGACAAAAATGACCATATTTTCACAAAAGAGAAGGAAAGAGAGATCCACTCTTGGTTAAAGGTATACACGGCCAGGACCAGGACCCAGCCAGGATCGGAGAGGGGAAAGTGCTCAGAGGAACCAGTCAGATGAGGACAGCGAATCTTCCTCACATCTTACTGAGGTTTATCCAGCGAAATCGGCAAGAATCTCCCCAGAAAACTGGCAATTATAGAGAGTTACAGATTACCCCTCTTCGTTTGGAATGTACTTCATACTTAACAGGACCGCGGGTAATTATTGGGCAACCTGAACCTCGCTTCACAAGATGGAGATGATGAGGTATTTTCTCGGTAACCACATCGGTATGATTTTATAATTACTGAGCTACGTGAATCTGCCATGAAATTGAATAGTTAACAGCAAAGAGTAATTGCCTGATATCTGTACTCTATAATTTAGTATAATCTAATCATGGACAAAGCCCAAAAGAAAATGTTCTGAAAGCATTACATTTTTCTTCATACACAATTCATTATTGACATCAGGGAATGTATTCCGTGCCTCTAAAGGAACTCTTACCCACAGATATCAAAGTGTGGCCAAAAGAATGAGAGTTTTGTTACCCTTTCAGACGATTGTGAAAAGCAGCCAATCTAACTGCCCATTATACCTGTTCTGGCATTTCTCTGTGACTCTATTTGCCCCCTCATTGACCTGGAGGGATGAAAGGTAGCTCTCCTCTTCCCCGGTGCACTGAGATAAGCCAGCCAGAAGCTGGGCCGTGCTAGGACCGTTCTAGTCAAAACCTGAGCCTAGATGGCAACCACTTTGTCCCCCACTTTTCAACCACACTCTCCCAGTGCCCCACCATCCCACAGCATGACAGCACCCACGATGTGGTTCCAAGGAAGCCCAGAGAAATGCACAAGGCTGGCGAGGGGGTGGATCAAGGATGAGGCCACAGTCCCCCAGCATCTCTAAGGACCGGATAAACGTGTGCCAGGCTTTTTACAGGAGGAGAAGGAGAATGGAACCCACTAAAAGATTTATGGTTGTTGTTATTATAAGGCTCTGCTGAGACAGAGGTCAGCAGGACGGCAGGCAGCGTGGCAGCCCTCTGGGAATCCAGAGCCTCCTCCTAGAGGCCCCTCACCTCTGCTAAATGTGTGGATGTGGTTACTAAGTAGATTTGAACACTGGAGCTTGTTTTTCCTCTTCTGCCTTTAATAAATCAGCAAGACCGCCCGCAGCCTGAGCTGCTCACCTTAAAAAAAAAAACCACAAGAAAGTGAGGAGAAAGGCGGGGGGCAGGCAGGGCAGCCACTGACTTTGCAACATTGCCCTTTGCTTTAAAATATGCGTTCCCATACTGGACACAGGAGGCAAACTCCGAGAATGCGCGAAGGAACCTCAGGGACAGCTCCCAGCACGAGGCAGTGGCACAGAGGGGCCCCAGGGCTAAGCCCGCGGTGGGGGAGACACGAGGGGCAGGGAAGAAAGTGGGGGGGTGCTCATGCGGAAGGAACAGGAGCAGCAACAAGCAGGTAAAGGTGTCTTGGCGGACAGTGTGGATGGAGGGCCTTGGAGGGGTTATCAATCCACCTAAGGGGCACGACTGGAACAGACTGGAACAGGGAGCTCCGGAGGAAAATGCAAAGGCCTGAGAGGGACGATTGACTTGTAAGGGCTTTCCTGATTGACTTTTCTCAATCCGATGGGGAGGCTTCTTCCCCAGGGGGGCAGGCGTCGCGGGGGAGCACTGATTGGCAAACACGCTTCGAGGGGTGGTGCATGAGCCCAAAGGCCCGCTGGACCCAGCAAGACAAATCCAGCCACTGCTAGAAGCCCCGTGGAGGCACAGGGTGGACCACAGGGGGGCAGAAAGCCACAGCTGCCAACATGATGGGTTCCAGGCTAGAGGGAAGACAACAGGCTTGGCGGGTGGGGCTCACTGGGCCCTAGGTAGGTGTAGCAGCACCAAACACAAGGCAGGCTGACAAAGCCCACGCTGGGGACCACTGCGGGGGGCGGCTCCAGTTCAGGACATATTTTTAAATCGCCCTGGGATCCATTGTGATGAAACAGACCGTAACTCTGCGAAATGCCAGAACGTTCACTTTGTTTAAGCGTCAGATTCAAGCCCTCTTAGAATACACGGGGCCAGTATTGATGCCGAAAGGCTCATTCCTTATATATTGAACTGCACAGCTGCAAGGAGTTGCACAAATGTTACCAACTCATTTGTCATGCAAACAGTGCTTCAGAAAGAAATAAAATACTATTATGTGGTATATGTGTTAGGCAATCACTATATCAAATTCATGGCATTCCGTGCAAACACAGGCAGAGAAAAGGAAAACAACACTTGGTGAGAAAAATTGCACCACATGGGCACAGCTAAGCTGGGGGATATGGGGAGGCTAACAATGGAAGCCTGACTGAGCCGAGGCTGTCATTTTCCCAGCAATTGCGGCCGGTATAGGAATACTCCGGTTGTACAGCAAGTGGCAAGGATGCAAACCACGGGCAGAGGGGCCTTGCCCACGACCCAGGGAAGGAATAGGGGCAGGCGAGGTGGGGGCTGGGCGATGGGCAGGGACGGGGAGAACTGAATTAGAGGAGTAGCAGTGGTATAGAACCTAAGAGGCCCAGGGCGGCCATAAGTGTTTGGGACAGGGAGTTGAAGAAGGATGTGGAAGGCTTACAAAGAGGGGAGGGAGGCGGAAGGGAGACTGAGCCATTTGCCACCACTCCCCATGCTTCCCTCGGGGGCTTCTCAGCTAAGAGCCTTCCTATAATCAAACAGGGTGCCCTATGGGAGGTTCTACCTGCCGCCGCTGTGGAGAGAGGGGTTAAGTATAAACACTTAGGAACGTGTACCAGGCACTGTTTTGATCCCCTTATACAAATTACCTGTTCTAATCCTCATAGCCACCTTACCAACCGTACTGGCCAGCAGGCTAGAAACGATAATTGGATATGATCACACATCTGAGAGTGGCGCCGTTGGGATTTGGGAGTCGCCAACCTAAATCCGCAAGCGACACAAGACTGTGTCTCGGGGGTCTTCCCCTACCCATCTCTCGTGAAAAATCCCACCATCCAGACCTTTGGGCTCCTCCCAGAAGCCTGTACTGCCCACTCAAGCCCAAGGGCACTTGGCTCTTCTGCCCCCTCGATGCAAACGGCATCAGCCTGGGGCACGGCCTACATCCCCTCCGAGCTCCACCTCAGAGTGAACTCCTAGGAAAACACAGAGGCCTGCCGCCCTCGACCCGAAGTCGGACGGGGTCTCAGAACATGCCCGGCGTCTAGCCCACGACCCAAACAGAGCCCCTCCCCAAGCACAGAGGGCGGCACAGGATCCCATCTCCCCCTTCTCCGAAATGGCTTGTCTTTCACCGTTAAGCAATTCATCCACTAAATCAACACTTTACTGAACGCCTACCACGTGCCAGCGACCGCGCATGGGGCGGAATATTCGGAAAGAAACACCAATGGTCTTACGGACGAGACGGACTGAGCAAAGAGGTTAAACGAAAAAGGAAGAAGAAGGGGGGGCGGAAAAAACTCGGACCTCCCCAACATGGCGGCCTAAGGGCCGAGTCTGATCCCCTCATCATGGCCGGCAATCAGGCAGGCGCGGACCTTCTCAACATGGCGGCGCAGACAGACCTTCCCATCATGGCGCGGGGCCCCGCCCGCTTCGCCGCGGCCGCCGGCGGGAGCAGTTCCGGGTGCGGTGCGCGCCGGGGGCGGGCGGGGGGCGGTGTCCTGGCCATGGCCGGCCTGTCGGACCTGGAGCTGCGGCGGGAGCTGCAGGCCCTGGGCTTCCAGCCAGGACCCATCACCGACACCACCCGGGACGTCTACCGCAACAAGCTGCGCCGCCTGCGGGGCGAGGCCCGGCTGCGCGGCGAGGAGCGGCTGCGGGAGGAGGCCCGGCTGCGGGGCGAGGAGCGGCTGCGGGAGGAGGCCCGGCTGCGCGAGGAGGCGTCGCTGCGAGCCCGGCCCGCCGCGGCCTCCCTGCGAGCGGAGCCCTGGCTCTCCCCGTCGGGCTCGGGCTCGGGCTCGGCCTACGCGACCTCTGGGGCCTACGGCGATGTGGGGGCCTCCGCGGCTTCCTGGTCCGGGAGCCGCGGCCTCGCCTACCCCGCCCGCCCTGCGCCGCTCAGGCGCCGCGCCTCGGTCCGGGGCAGCTCCGAGGAGGACGAGGACGCCCGGCCTCTCGACAGGGCCGCGCCGGGCCACGGAGTCCGTCGCTGGTGGGCCTCGACCCCGGCCCCGGCCCGGCCGCCCTCCGCCCTCCTCGGCGCCGACCCGCGCCCGGGCCTGCGGGCGACGCGAACTGGCCCGGCCGGCGCGGCGCGGGCCCGGCCCGAGGCGGGGCGGCGGCTGGAGCGCTACCTGTCCCGGCTCCTGTTCTGGGCCAGCCTGGGGCTGCTGCTCGTCTTCCTGGGCATCCTCTGGGTGAAGATGGGCAAGCCCTCGGCGCCGCAGGAGGCGGAGGACAACAGTACGTCCCGGGCCGGCGCAGGGGAGGGCCCCGGGCGCGCGAGTGTCCACCAGAACGGCCACCCGTTCCTCTCAGCGCCAGGCTGCACATCCCGGGCCTTGTCAGATGCCTCTGGCTGTCTTCTTACTCCAGACCCTGACTCTCCTTCCTCCCGCTGTGGGGGGAGAGGGCTGGAGTTCCTGCAGTAATTTCTGTCTTCACTCTCTCCTGTTCTCATTTTCTGCCCTAGCCCTCCCTACCGATCTCCCTTTCAACCACGTGCTGGAAGCAGTCTTCATTCCTAGTCACTTCCACCCCAACCTCTGGTTTTCCCTCTCTAGAGAAAACCACACCCCTCTCCAACAGACAGGTCCACCACCCCCATTCCTTTTCCGTTCTTTATTAACTTGGATCTCTTGCTCATTCACATATTAGTGCCCATTTGAAGGCACCCCAGGTTTCACTGCCCACAGATCTGATCTGGTTGGGTTCCCAGCTTTGCAGCACCAGAAGAGTTTAAACTGATACAAATGGAGGCGTTTATCCTTGCTTGCATTATCCTCCTGGCGTGTGTGCTGAGAGGGTTCTGTGAGTCAAGGACATTCCCAGCCATGCTTCTGTCCACACTTTAGTGATGTGACATGCCAGTAAGAGGTCTGCAGGAAACAGTATGCTTCCTGAATAGTTGAGGATTGGTATGTTTCTTAGAAGGGAAATCTGCCTCTTGGGTAACTCTGGGCTTTATAGTCTAACAGAAAACAACATAGAAATCATTTCTTTATAAATTTAAAGGGTAAAGTGTATAAATTTAAAGTATAAGTATAAAGTGACATTGTGAGTTCACCAACTTTTGATATTCTTTGCAAAGCATTGTGGTTAATACTGCTCCCAGCCTCAAGCCAAGGCCACATCTTTCCACGCCTAGCAGGAACAGCCAAGATGCAGGGAGAAGCTAAATTGTGTCTTAGCTGTCGCAGCAGATGGGTGTTTGGGTATATGAACAAGTCTGTGGGCATGGGGATCCCAGACTCATGCACTCACCCAAATAATTTCTTGGCTATGAGAGCAGTTTATCAGTGGAGCGAACCAGTCGGCAGTTTTGTGGAGCAGTACAGCAGAGACTGTACTGGTTCCACAGTTGTCAAACGGTATACTGTCATACTCACTGCTGAGATGCTTTAAGACCACAGCTCTTGGATATATACTGGGATTTACCTGGAGCGCCCCTCCCATGATGGTACTAATCCCTGTTCAATATATCACTGTTTGCAATTTACAAAACCATCATGTATATTGGCTTGTTGGAGGTTAACTCCCTGAGTTAAGCAGGGGAAGCTTTATTGATCCCATTTTACAAATGAGGAAACAGAGGTTCAGAGTGGTTGAGTTACCCAAGAGCCTGTGGCTAATCATTTCCAGCTAGGACTTGGACCCAGGTGTCCTCGCCCTGGTTCCTAATCCAGGATTGGGAAACCTGTACATGTTACTGTCTGCGTTTTAAAAGTGCCCCCATTTAGATGACATCTTCCTGATCCCCACCGTTATGTTGGTAATGTTGTACTTCCCCTGAATTTTGAGAGTGGTCCCTTTTTGCAATCTTTTCCTCAACCCACACTTTTAATTTCCTGTGTTTCTTTTCTTGGTCTCAGTGAAGTTATTGCCAGTGGACTGTGCGAGCAAAACAGATAAGGTGAGTCTGAGTTTCTCTAGCTTTTGTTGCTCATTTTGTATAACATCCCAAGGATGTTAGCCTCCATCAGGAGGTAAACTGGCCCAGAAAAAGACCATAATAGGATCATTTTCAGGAGTGCTTCCTGTAATGTACCAGAATCACATCGTGTTCTGTGATGTTTGTGTCAGACTCAATTGTGACAGGCGAAGGAGTACTTGAAACAGAGAGAATTGAACTCCCAAGATCCAACCCTGGGCTTGTTATGGAAGGTCTCCCCATCAATCACAGCTCTGGGGACTTTGATCTTCTGCCTAAGTCAATCTAGGGGGATGCAGTAGGTTGGGGCTGAAGGTCCTCTCAAGCTCCCTGGCTTCCAGAGGAAGGGCTGACAGTTTTTAAGCACCCAGAGGCTGGGTTCTCAGGTCCACGTTCCCTCTGGTAGTACATCTGTGACTGACAGTGCTGTTCAGATTTGAAACATCATGGGGTGGGGGGAGGTTGTTTTAAATATATCTGAAGTAGAATTAGCCCTCCTAGTCTATAGATTTGTTTTATGAAGCTTTAATGTTCCCTACAAATAATATTTGGGGAAGGCGAGCAGCCCCATCCATTTATGAGTCATGCCCGCAGCATTAGCTGGGAGCTGGGATGCTGGCACAGGTGATAGTCTGGGGAAGATAGGAGGCAGTAAATTTTCAGGTCATAAATCCTACCAGGAGGAGCCTTTTGCCGCCAGAGGGCATGACTTAGTAGTCTAATTATTAAGTGTGCAATGCCAGGCGTCTCCCAAGGCCTCAGGCTCCATATCTGGCAGCCCGGGGGCTGGGAAAGAAACAACACACGGTCTCGTGTTCACTTTCTTACCCCTGTCACCAAAGGGGTGGCCTGGTGCAAATAATAGGTTTTATCTTTTCTTTGGCCTCTGCTATATTATCTGGGGGTGTTTTATTACATTCATTTATTGTGTTCATCCAAGTATCTTTGCCTCTCAGTTGTTTCGTGAAAACAGATTCATATTAAGTTTAAACTGCCTTGTGCCATGAAAACCAGAGTTGATGATTACAGGAAGTGGCCCAGAAAAATAGTCGGAGGGAAGTGGTCGGAGGGAAAACTAGAATTTTGAACCCCGAAAGCAAAAAACGGGAAACAAGTCTGTAAGACTTCTCTGGTTTCTATCTCTTGGTTCTTCGCCCCAGCTGAGTGAGCCCCGACAGGCACAATCCGGGGCCTTGCTAAAAATGTGCTCAATGAGCAGACTGGGGACTTGCAACCTCCGAGCATCAAAAGGCAGGGTCTGGGCATTGTCGGCAGGTTCCACTGAGCTGAGATTTCACGGGATGCTCTTGGCCTTTGTGAAGGGTGGACACGGGAACAGGCAGATTGGGAGATGCTTCTTGGCTTTGGTGAGGCCCTTGTGGAAAGCCTCATTCTTTGTGTGGCTCAGGCTCCCCCAGAACCCAGATGGGCATTGGAGTTTTAGATATACGTGTTCTTTCCCTTCTCAGCCGACTATGACACTTAGCGTTTTTCTTTCTGCCTTTGTGCTGCTGAAAACGTGTGGACAGGCTGGGAGTGGGTGTGCTGTCTCAGGCAGGCCGTCTCGTGGTCTGGTGCCTTCTATCTTTCTGTTCCTTTTAGGTGGTATCACCCTAAATGTCGGTGAATTTGGAACAGAGTTCATTGTGACCACTTTTGTTGTTGTTGTTCTCTGGTTGTGACAGTAAGCGATGTTTAGTGTAGCAGATTTGAAAAATGTGACAAAATCAGCCATGATTCTGCCACCAAGAGATAATCACCATTGTCATTTTGGGGGCATCTCCTTCCCCTCCATCTGTCTGTGTACGTATGTTTATAGAATTGGAATCTGAATGTACATGCAGTTACATTTCTTACCATCAACATTTCCCATCACATTTGTCTTTAAAAGGTAGTTTGGGTACCCGATTCTACTTACAGACTTGGGAGTTGTTTCTGAACGTTAATGGTCGTACGTGTAAATCTTGGTTATGCCATTTTGTACCTTGTAAAGGCTTTTGGGTCTTTAGGCAACACAAAGGGACCTATCTTGGCCTCTGAGACTATGAGAAACAAGTCCCACACGTTGCAGGTGAGGGCAACAAGCGAGCCCAAGAAGGAAGGGGACCGTGGTTCCTTCTGCAGTTGTCGCGAGCTAGGCCCCGAGCCCAGGCCCTCGGCGTCAGTCGGGCGTCCTGTGCAGTGACAGCCCAGAGGAGGTCTGAAGAGGGCGGTAGGCTTGGAGTCCACCGGCTCCAGCGCTTGTTAGCTGTGGGATCTTGGGGTCTAGCAGGTCTCTAAACCTTGAGCTCCTCATCTGAGAAGTTGGGGTGCGGTCAGGATTGTGGTGAGGATTCAGTGCAGACTCATGACAACCCACGGCCTGCCATTCACTCTCAAGGAGAGCAGCCTTTCGTTCAAATATTCTAAAGCTAGCTGCCTAGCACAATGGCATCAGTTCTGCTGCAGATGCAGGAGAGCTAGGTGTGCCTGTATTCCTGTTCCTGTGTTCTCGTACAGATGACTTTCGCCCCCTGTAGTTTCAGGATGTCTAGAATCTGGATGTCTAAGGTGAAGCCTTTGCTGCAGCTCATCCACAGAGCAGACGATTTATGGGCGGAATGTAGACACCTGACTCTCCAAAAACAGATGGGAGTGGCCGAGGGGAGACAAGACTGCAGTAGTACAGCATTTGCCTGGCCCGCCTCGGAGGCCCGACTGCATCTCCCTGCAGCCCCACCTCATGGCCTTCATTCCAATGAGAGCCGCGGGACAGAGGTTGGGAGCCTCCAGGATGGCCGACCCTTAGTGGCCGGGGCGGCTTTTAGCTCTACCTCAGCTTTTCTGGTTAACCCGATACTTACCCATCCTGTCCCTGCGCCCACCTCTTTGCAGAATGTGGGTTCTGAAGGGCTCCTTGCTGCTTAGCACTTGACAGTGCAGCCGAGGAGTTCAAGCCAGAGAGATGGAGCCCCCTGTCCCCCTTGCTGACTGCTTGTCCTGTGCCCTTCCAGTTCTGTCAGGCCAGGCAGAAGGCGGCCTTGCTGGAGCTGCTACACGAGTTGTACAACTTCCTGGCCATCCAAGCCGGTGAGTGCATAGCTCGGGGCCTGAGATTCGAGGGTTGTGGGCTCTTACCCTTAGCGGCCAGGCGGGGGCTGGCTGGCAGGTGGCTGAGATGCTCTGTGGTGATGTCCCAGAGGACATACTCCGAAACCAAGTCTTGCCTTCCCCGCCTCTCCATTCAGACACATCTTTTTGAAGCCTATAGTTGGTTCTCACATCCCCTTGAAGGCTCCCAGGGGTCCTGGCCCACGCACAAGCCTTTCTGCTTTCTCTGGATGCCCACCACCTGATGCTCTAGGGGGTTCATGTTGCATTGGGAGGGGCCAGACCCCAGGTCTCCTCATTCTGGGTCTTCTGACCTGGACGGCCTCCCTGTACCAGATGGTCAGCCAGGCCAGGAGGAGAGGCCTATGCAGGTGGCAGGGGTCTGAGTAGTGGGCTCGTCACACAGGTCCATCCAGCTTGCCGGGGCCCCAGTGTCACCTCTGGTCCTGATCTCCCCAGCTGGCTGCAGGACCTTGGACAAGTCCCTTATCCTCTCAGAAACTGTCTCCCTATCTAACCAAGTGGCCTGGGGTCGTTTTTATTTTCTTTTTTTCTTTTTTTCCAAAGTGAAAAGTAGCACTGTACTCTAGAGGAGGGCATTTTCAGCAGCCCCATGAAATACCCCCTAAAAAGTTAGCCATCCGGAAGGTTCCCCTACTGTTTTATTTAGAAAATTGTTCTTTGAGGCCAGAGATATCACCTCCCCACATCTCTCAGAATCACTTGCTAAAGGCATAGCTGAATGACCAGAGCTTGTGCCCCAAGTTAAATATATCTGCCACCAGAACCAGACGGAGCTATTTAGTCTTATGAGATGTTCAAGAGATACCTCTGATCTGTGGGGCCTTGTCTAAAGTTGTTGCTAGGGAATCAAGGCTGGATGGGCCTGTACTGGGCCCTCAGCCCTCGGGGTCAGTCTTGTGGGCCTCAGCTCTGCCACCGCCTCCTGACTGGCGGGAGACTGGTGATGGTCAGGGAGGCATCTGTGAGCTCGGAGGAGCAGTAGGAGTGGGGGCTCACAGCATCACAGGCCTCAGGGGCCTTTCTCCCTGGCCCAGGGGCTCGGAATATAAATTCTGGCCTAAGAGGGTGTTCCGGACCTTAGTGACTCAGTTGTGGTCCCGGGACCAGCAGCATTAGGATCACCTGGGAGCTTATTGGAAATGCAGAATCTGAGGACCCATCCCAAACCTATGAATCAAAGTCTGCATTTTCAAAAGAGCCCTAGGGTATAAAGTAGAGAAGCTCTGTCTTAAACAGTGGATGCTGGTAGACATTTCTCCTCCATCCCACCCTCCATATGTGGTCCTGGCTTATGCCATCAAGAAGCCTAGTGCCTCCTGTCCTCTGAGGCACTTGGTGAGGGTCTCACTGCAGGGGAATGAGGGCTCTACCAGGCCATACCCCCCCCCCCCGCCGGAGGTCACCTGTAGGCAGAGCATTGTGCTGGCCTTTGCAGCCCACAGGCTGCTTCTGGTCTAGTAGAAGAGACAGGCCACCTACCTCCCTGACCACTGGCTGTTACGAGGTGTGATTGGATGAGAACCGAGAGGCCAGAAGTTCTAGGAGGCACGCTACCTTTTCGCTGGAGCCGTCAGGAGAGCGGCACAGGGGAGGGTATCTGTGCCAGGCCCTGACGCCCAAGAGGGATTGATTCTGTGTATGTCAGGGGCAGGGCGGAGCCAGAGAGGCAGGAAATTACAGGGGCAGGGATGGAAGCAGTTGGCCTCACGGGGGAAGGAGAAACAGAAGGAATGGAGTTTGGAAAGGTCGCTTGGGCCCCACCATGGATGGCCGTAGATGCCAGGCCACGGGGGCTTGATCACTGCAAGCAGTGAGCGCCAGGGAGGCTTTTGAGCAGGGGAGCAATGTGCTGAGAGCCAGGAGGACAAAGGTGATAGCAGCTTGAGTGTAGCAGTGCCATTTAAGCAGAATCATTTTAAACTTTTGTTGGTCAAACGTGGATGGGAGAGGGGAGAGGAGGAAACCAATCAGGAGACCACGGCCGTGGTCCAGACAAGCTTAAGCAGGCCAGGGTGATCGGGGCAGGGCAGGAGAAGCCAGGTTGATCACAGAGGTCCCATAAGGTCAAGATCAACCTCGGCATAGGAGGGATAAGCTTTAGTTCATTCTCAAGATCTTTAAAGTTCATTCTCAGCCACTCCCTCCCCAGCACACAGACTGGCCATCGGTAGCCCCTAGGCTGTGCCAGGTTAAGAGCAGTCAGGCTCTGTGTGAGTTCAGGATCTGGTGCAGCCCACCCCGTGCTGTCCCTGCTCTCAAGGAGTCTGGTGACCCACAGGAAGCAGCATGTGGTGGGTGGACCATAGCGGGCTGTCGAGAGCCAGTGACTGTTGGCAGGCCCCCAAGTCCAGAGTGATTTGGTCCAACAAGATTCCCCTATAGTCCAGGGATTTTTCAGAGGAGGTGGCCCTGGGTGGGCTTTATCCTAGGTGGGAGCTGGTCACCCAGGGTGCTCAGGAGGGAACAGCCCCTTGGAGCACCACACTGAGGCCCCACTGCCCAGCACAGAGACACCCTCTTTCTCTTTGGGGCATTTTGGACATCTCTCCCCAGAACCCCTCAAAACAGTGGGCCTGGAGTTCCAGGTCGACTGCCTATGTCACAGTCAGATTCCCTGCAGTGCCTATGGCCTCCCTGCCTTTCTTTTTTCCCAGGTTGCGTTTATTTATAGTGCCATTCTGGTTCCTTCCAAGCTATCTGTCTGATCCTTTTAGGGATCAATTGCAAACAGACCTTAGGATTGGGCAGCTTTTTAGTCATTTAATGCAAATCACCGCACTGCTTTGCAGGTCAGGTTTTAATGATCTGGAATCGATCCAAGCTAAGTGGCTTTTGATCTTGCTGCAGAGTGAAGATACCCCACAGAAGCTGGAGCCGCGGGGCCACATGCTCCCCATCAGAACGGATGGCTTGATTCGCACTGCATTTTTTTAGTCTGTTTCAGAGTAATTTTTTTCCACCTCTTCTTTGTGTTTGAATGTGTGTTTTTTCCTCCTAGGTAATTTTGAATGTGGAAATCCAGAGAAGCTAAAAAGCAAATGCATTCCTGTAATGGAAGCCCAGGAATACCTAGCAGTAAGTAGGCTGCAATGCTTACCCGTTCCCCAGAGGTCCTGGTGCTTTTGTATTGATCTTGTGAGCCCTGCTTTTTTTCCCCCTTTTTGTTGTGTGTTTGCTTTTTGGCTTTTTTGTTTTCCCTTTTTTTTTTTTTTTTTTTTTTAACTTAGTTGAGTGTTAGGCTACTTTCAGTTTTAGGCAGCAGTAGGGGTGACTGGTCCAAGGTGAGCTGAGAGCCGGAGCCCGGCCTGCCGCATGCGGGCCGGGGTGGGGGGCTCCCGAGCAGCTGGTGTGGCCACTGCGGGCCACCCCTTCTTTCAGTGGCCCTGTTACTTGCTCCCCACTTTTCTCCCCTTCCCAGCAGCTTTACGGATCTACACTTTACCTGTCTGTTCTCTCCTTTATGTTCACTGTGCAGATTGCTCAGGGTCTATTTGACTATTGGCCTGGCCCCAGTTTGATAGAATTCTGGAACTTCCGAGCCGGCAGAAGCCTTAGGGGTCACCTAGCTCATTGTCATTTCCCAGATGAGGATATTGAGGCCCAGAGAGGGGCAAAGACTGGCCACCGGGCACCCGCCGCCCCCCTCATCCCCACGCTTTTTTTCATTTTCCCCAAGATGAGCTGCCAGCTCTCTGGCCTCACGCTTTGGTCCTTGAGAAAGGTTTTGGTTTTGGTTTTGGCTACCTCAGACCTGCGTTGCTTTCTTGTGTGCTTCTGCGTCGACTCCTCCCAATAGAGCTCTTTCTTGGCTCTCATCAGCCCAGATTTCCACCTGCCACTTTGTTGTGCATTTAGCAGAATGGGGCTTTGGGGCCTGCGGAGGACAGGGGAGAGGGCCTCCTTAATCCAGCAGGAGAATAATGTTCCAGCTGGTCGGCCCAGACACAGCACTAATTTCCCGCCCCCTCCCCCAGAATGTGACCGGCAACTCCTCCGCCAAGTTTGAAGCTGCACTGACCTGGATACTGAGCAGTAACAAGGACGTGGGCATCTGGTGAGTGTGGGCGAGGCCTCACAGGGTGGCAGCACCACCACGGGCACCCGCGGCCATGGTCCTCACCCATCGGCCGGCTGCCGGGCGCTCACAGACGTGTCTTGGGGCTGAAGTTAGAGGCAGGTCTCCCAGCTGAGTCCTTGTGGGCTCAGCCTACCGCTGGGCATTGGAAGGAAGAAGCATTCGGTGGGGGGGGGGGGGCAGCGTAAGGAGCCGTTTCAAGATAAGACACAAAATCCAGGTGTCAGGACATGAGCCTAGTGTTCCAGCTAAGCGTTTCAAGTAACTCACTCTGCGCCCTTTGAATTCACTGGTCCCACATGGGTTGCTGGAGAAGGCATTTTTCTGAACTTCTTTTCGTCAGGTGCTAGTTTTCATTACTAGATGAAATGGTTCCGTCTGTTGGTTTCACTCAGCATGGATGTTGCAAAAGAAAATACTGAACTTTATTCTCACTGGGCAGTTCGACCTCATCTCTGTCTCTGGGCAGCACTGTTAGCAGAGACAGCGAGAGCCCCTCACCCTCCCGAGAAGCCCCATCTGGCTGCTCAGCCCGTGGGGGAGGGGCACACCAGCGATGCTCGCCCCACCGGACCTCCCCACCGCCCAGAGCTCTTCACGCTGGCGCTCCCTCCCCTTTCCCAGGGTTTGTTGGGGTCTCTGTTCAGGCCACAGCTCCTGATATTCAAATACACTCTAGGGTTTTGTTCCCTTCGTCCCTAATGCACCCAGACAACTAATTCCATCAGCCGTGCCTCCACCAGAAGCCCCTCGGGCAGCTCAACCTAAAGCTTGATAACCAGATGCAGGGCACGTTGACTTAAAAAAATAAAGCTTCCCTGAGTGGCTGAGCGATTTTCCTGTGTGTTCGGAACGGGGGAGGAGAATATGGATTTTAGCCTCGGCAGCGCTCACCAAAGCTGCTAGCACAGGATGACATGCACCTTTTCACGCTGGGGGAAGGCTGTCGGGAGGGTGGCCGAGCCCAGCTCAGACGACCAGTACTCAAAGTGGGTTCGTGAGATATCGGGACACTTCAGATACTGGGCATTCCCGGGTACAGTCCAGAGCACAAGATGGTCACCTAGCCGGAAGAAGGTGCAAGCGTGGGCATCCTCATGTGTCCTGACACCTCCTCTCAGGGACTAGAGTGGAGGCGATGGGGCTGGGGCCTGGCCTCAGAGAGCCCTAGTGGTTGTCCTTCCCCGAGCCTCATGGCACCCCGATCTTTACACATAAACAGCTTATGTGCCTCCTTGTCACTGTCACCAAGGAAAAGCACACCCTCCCAGACTCTCTCAGTTCCTGCCATGCAGTGCAAAGCCAGCGATTCAGTAAACATTTCCATTACTCTATGCTGGGAGGTGGGAATCCAATTTATAGTTTAATCTTCCCACACGCTGAGAGGGGCTGTCAAAAGACCCGACAGAGGGGGACATCACTTTAGTGGTAGGGGTTCAAGCCTGCTGCTGTCTTTAAAGCTTTATTCTTTCTAAGTAGCCAATGTGGGAAATTTCTGGAAAGCATGCAACCAGGATACCAAGTCTATTTCATAAGCAAGTAGAGGCCTCGAAGCTCCTCCTTTTTTCTCTTTCTGCTTTAAAGTGGGGCTGATTCTGCGGCTCCTGGGAGCTTTTGAACGCCATTGCAGCCCTGTGTCCTGTTTCAGGTTGAAGGGGGAAGACCCATCGGAATTGGTGACGACTGTGGACAAAGTGGTCTGCCTGGAATCCGCCCGCCCCCGCATGGATGTGGGCTGCCGCCTGAGCCGTGCCCTGTTCACCGCAGTCACCAACGTGCTCATCTTCTTCTGGTGTAAGTCCTTGGCTGCCCTTCTCCCCCCGACCCCGTCCTTGCCATTGGGACTGCTCATACAGCACCTCCCGGGAGCCCAGCTCAGTGACACGCTTGGGCATGAGTGATACAGAAACCCAGGCCCAGAGAGTTCATTTCTGTCTGGTGAACCTGAGGTCTGTCTAATAAAACAGAGGAGATGAACAAGTCAGCTTCTGCCCTGGGTCATCTTACCTTTAGAGATTGGTGGCAGGAGCATGAGGGTAACTGGAAAATATCCCTGAGCAGGGTCGGGGACGATAAGTGTCCCCGAGGGGGGAGCTTGGCCCCGGCTGGAGCCCAGCATCGTCACCCCCCAGGGCCCCAGAGTGCAAGCCTCTCAAAGGAGGAGAAGGCACAGCAGGACCTTGGCCTAATTTTACTCCCTGAACAATGTAAACATGTCCTCGGGAGATCTAGGTACCCGATGAAAGCAGGATGGACCCAGGGGGCTGAGCTGCAAAGCAGAGCGCGGGTCTTGTCGCCTGACATCAGGTGCTGCCTTTGAGCAGAGACCTTGGGGTGTCTCTGAAGGTGAAAGGCCGAGTCACAGAAACTGCCCGCTCTGCAGACGTGGCGGAGTTACAAATCACAGGCCATCTGGGCGTGCACACGGCTCCCTCACCCATGCCATCAGGCACACACATCATAATCGGCAGCAGCATCTCGGAATACAAAGGGCCCCGCATGTATATATGTATGAAATGCCATGTTCCGGTGCACAAGGGAGGAGATGAAAGGCCCGGAATGAGGTTGGGAGGAGCCGCAATCTGGACAGCTGGGGAGGTCTCTTTGGTGACAGCCAGCAGGAGGAAGATGATCACTTCATAGCCTGCCTCCCTTCTGCATCTCCACGTCCTGTGTCAGCAGCAGGCCGACCTGGGCCTGACACGTAGTAGGTAGTCAGGACACTCGTGCGGCCAGAAGTGATGTGGCAGATTCACGGGGCCTGTGTTCCCTCATAGGTTTGGCCTTTCTGTGGGGGCTCCTGATCCTCCTGAAATATCGGTGGCGGAAGCTGGAAGAAGAAGAACAAGCCATGTACGAGATGGTGAAGAAGATTATAGGTGTGTGGCCCCTGGGGAAAGACCACTGGCACCCGCCAGAAGGCCCTTGCCCTAAACGGTGCCCTCTGTCCTACCCTGCAGATGTGGTCCAGGACCATTACGTGGACTGGGAGCAGGACATGGAGCGCTACCCATACGTGGGCATTCTGCACGTGCGCGACACCCTGATCCCTCCGCAGAGCCGGTGAGTCCTGGGCTGAGCCCGCCAAGTGCCACAGGAGGAGGCCCAGAGCATCAGTTATGGGGAGAGTGGGGCAGCTCAGCCCCGAGGAGAACAGGTGCGGGGGCCGTGCACGCCTCCTGCCACTGTGCAGCACTCGGCTCTTTGGAGCGAATGCACAGACGACGTAGGGCAGCGTGAGCCCACTCCTCTGTTAGCATCCTTGCTGACCGGGGAGCTCTGGGTGGCGGGCGCTAGTGCCCTCCTCCCCGCAGTGGCTCAGGCTGGGTTGCTGTGAGTGCAAGTCCAGAGTCCTGTGGGCTCCAGGCACAGAATAGTCAGGTCTCTGGTTCCAGTTCTCTGTGATGCTTGTGGTCTTAGCCCCCGTGGATGTTGTCGGCTGGTTGGAGTTCCTCCTGGTCATAAAATAGTAGCCCGCAGCAGCGGGGTCAGCGTCTGCCTTGTCATCGCCAGCAGGGGAGAGATGGGTCGCCCTCACGGGCAGGAGAAAACATTCCCAGAAGCTGCCAGTGACCCACTCCTCGAGGCCCTGCTGGCCAGAACTGGTTACTTGTCTATTCTTGAGTCAGTCACTAGCGAAGAGGAGATTGTTTTTCAAACATTTTTAACCATGACCCACGACACGTTACCTAAAATATCATGGTTCGCTTCCCACGAGCTTAGGCCCACGTACACGTGCGTGCCTGTAGCTGAAAGCAGAGTCCCACAGCCATGGCTGGGGTCAGCTTCCAGGGCGCCCGGCTGCACAGGAAGGGGCAGCAGGCCATGGGCATGCCTGGGCCGCGGATGCTGGATGGACCCCGACAAGACCCAGTGTGGGGTAGCTTTGGAGGATGGGGTCCCAGGGACCAGCCAGTGGGGCATGCCGCGGTGTCGGCCCAGACCATGGGCCCTGCTCAGCAGCTCACTGTGGTCTCAGGCCGGATGCCATCCTCTCAGAGGGTGCCGAGCGCTTGCTGCGAGCCGGCACTGCTCTGGGCCCTCACAGACACAGCCCCGCTCACTCGATCCTCACTGCGGCTCCGGGAGGTGAGAGAGCGAGTAGCCCATCTTACAGATGAGGGAACTGAGGCAGGCGAAGGCCAAGGAACTTGCTCAGGGCCCACTGCTGGTGGTATTTCTGTGCAACCCAAGAGGAATTGGAAGAGTAAAACATTTAAGGCCCCTTGTAAAGGTGAAGATGCTTAAGAACTTTCACGCCCACCCTACTCCTTGGGAAGGTGCAGGCAGGAAGCTTAGGGAGAGCAGACGGATCACAGCATTGGCTGGTGCTTGCTGTTGGTGCCCAGCAAGACGCAGCCGCATGGCCCTCCACAGGGAGGACACTTGGGGCATTCATGCTGCCACCAAATTCCTGGCTTGCCCGTAGTCATTAATGGCCTCTCTGAGCCAGTTTCGTCATCCAAAACACAGAGGTAACACCACCGCCTTGCAGAGGGCTGCGGTGAAGCCCTCATTTGCTCAACAAACGCTTACTGAGCACCTGCTGCGGGCCACACACTCCTGGGTCACGGGGTGATGGTGGGGAGCTGAAGAAGCCCAAATCCCCGCCCTGCTGGAGCATCGGTGCTCAGGAGGAAGAGAAGTGAGAAAGGCAGAAGGAAACTGTGCTGTTAGGTAGCGACAAGTCCCAGGAAGAGGGGAGTGGGGCTGTCGAGAGATTGCCTCTCAGGTCTTAAGCCAGCGCCTAGCACTAGAGCGCTCATCCCAGGGCAGCCCTTACTGCTTGGCCTTCGTTCTGCACAGCCCACACATCGACCGAAGTACCATCGAGAGCGCCATTGCCGCCTGTCTCCGGCCTGAGCCATCTGGCCCCGGCACGCGTGCGGCAGCAGAGACCACAGGCGCGTGGTGGCCCGCAGGGACTGAGCCCTGGCAGTGAACCCCGGGAGACTCACCCCCTGTTGGCTCTCAGCCTCTCGATTTATCTCCCAGGCCCCCTGGTCCGTGCAGCTGAGCCCTCAAGGCGTGAGGACACATCCACTGCCGTTGGCCCTGCGTGGGGCCCCCTCAGGTCTGCCTTGCAGAAGAGGGTCTGCCCGTGAGACTGAGGGAGGGCTGGGGAGCCTGGCTCGCATGGGCTTGGTCAGTGCCTGTTCATGGGCACCTGGGAGGGAGGGCTGGGGCTGGACCAGCCAAGTGGGGACTGCTAAACAGGCTGAGGGGCCATTGGTGACAGGACCTGACCTCTGAGGTAGAAAGCCCCAGCACCCCCACTCTGACTCCCAACCCACAGGCCACCTCGGGAGCTTCACTCCTTTGTCCTCCCCCAGGCTGAACCTTTCCTGCTCCCACCCGTTCACACCCACAGTCCCTCTCCACGCGAGGGGTCATGGGGAGGTAGTCTGCAGAGCTGACAAAAGACAGGAACTCATCAAAGAGAAGATGTCAAAGCAACCCTTCCTGACTGCCTTGGAATCTTCCTGTCTAGACTGGAGGAGGAAGAGGTTATAGGGGGCTGTCCAAGAGGATGCAAGGCCCCGGGGACCCAGCAGAGAAGGGGCCCTGCCTGGTAGCTCCAGTTCCAGGAGCAGCTCCAGCTTCTTGGCCTCCCCAGTTGGATGCTGAGCTCATTCCCATGCTCCAAAGTACTGTCGAGTTTGGACTCAACAGCCCAGTGGCCACTCTTTAATTGGCCCACATGGGGCATTAAAATGCAGCCAGCATTGGTGGGGGGCCGCCTGGCCAGGGCTGCTGCAGGAACAGGCCCTTGGACACCGGGGGGTGCTCTGGACACCTTCGGCTCCCTTTAGCTCCCTTTAATTGAATGCTTTTAGAGCAGAGAAGGTTGAGGAATCATTTCTCTGTGGCTCAAGAAATTTCTCTCCCCTGCAGGAGTTCTGTTAGTACCTGACGCCTTTTCCTCCCACAGATAAATTCCGCGTGGGCTCCCGGAGTTTTGTCCCCCGTTTGTACAAGGGGTGTGCACAGGCCAGCTCGCTTCTCTGGGCCGTGCCGGAAGAGCTTCCGGGGGCGCTGCTGGCCTGCTGAGCCTGGCCCCTCTCGTTGCAGGAGGCGCATGAAGCGGGTCTGGGACCGGGCTGTGGAGTTCCTGGCATCCAACGAATCCCGGATCCAGACAGAGTCCCATCGTGTGGCTGGAGAAGATATGCTGGTGTGGAGATGGACTAAGCCCTCTTCCTTCTCCGACTCAGAGCGATAAATCCTGGGCGGGGGGGGGGGGGGGCCTGTTCCCAGTCGGCCTGTCCCAGGCCAGTCCCCTCCAGGGGCGCGAGAAGGCCACCAGACCTGCCAGTGCTGAATTCACACTTGCCTTGACTTTCACCTTCCTCCCGACTCTGGTTCCAAAGGTCTCTCTGTAAGACTCTTCAGAGATTAGCTTGTAGGAAAGCATGGGCTTCCTTGAAGGGCATAGAGGGGGAGAGCCAGAGGCCAGGTGGGTAGCTTGTCCTCTGCATTGGTTCAATCCTCTCTGCCCCAATGGCTGGCAGAAAAGGGGAGAAGGGTTTGGTTTTGATGCATAGAAAAGATGAAAGAGCAGCAGCGGTGAGACCCTGCCGAGCAAGTGTGCAGTTAGGTGGGCTGGAGCTCTCCCACCGCTGGTGAGCACTCAGCACGGTGGGCATCGTGCCTGTGGGAGGTGGGTCGGGTCGGCAGGCTGGGGCGGCAGGGGTTGGGGAGCAGTTTGGTCCATGTGCCTTCAGAGGGTGCTACCTGGGAGCTCAAGAGTGAGGGGAGAAAGCCTGTCCTCTAGCTGGGTTGAGCCTCTTTTATCCTGAAGGGGGAAGGTGCTAGAAAGTAGAACAAGTACTGTAGAAGAACTGTCTAGAAATGCCAGGTCCTGGCACGCGGGACCCGCAGGTCAGGGGAGTGAGCTGCCGGCGTGGCCTCCTGAGAGGAACCTGGAGCAGGCACAGGGGTCCGAGAGCGGACAGGAGTGTAGGGCTGCCCGCAGTCAGGACCGGGCCTCTTCAGTGGTGCTTCTCACCGAGTCGCGGGTCTACAGCAGACCCGCAGCCACGGCACTGCAGCGGGCGACGATGCGGATTCCGGGACCTTGGGAGTGCTGCGCCTCCTGTATGCGACGGTCACCTTGACTTAGGGCGACCACAGCGGGCCCCACTGTGGGGCCGCGGAGCCAGAACATGCGGCACCCACCCGGTGGGCGCGGGGCCGCACGGCTGCCCCCTGCTGGCCGCCCGCGAGAGTGCCTGCGCCGTCCCTCCTCAAGGGCCCCCGCCAGCCCGTCGGCCTGCCGCGCGGGAGCCCTGCTCCAGAAACGCCCTGGCGGGGGGCCTCTCTAGCAGAGCCTCGTTCCCGTATGTTCTCATCCGCGGCAGGCAGGAGAGGGGCGCGCGGAGGAGCCCGAACAGCTGCCTCCAGAGGCATCAACCACCCCGTTTCGGTCTTCCTGGTATTTTTTGTTTCCTTAATAAAGCTCCAGTCTCCCTCATTTGAGCAATACTCTCATTTCCTCTGATGTCTGGATGATCGGCGGGGCTGGAATCCGAGTGCTGGCCCCGTGGCAAAGAAATGGTCTCGTAATCAGGCTCCAGCCAGAAGAATAAGTAACACTGCAACAGGCTTCAATATCAGGGTTGAAACTGTTGGATAAATAAACTATTTATTAAAAATGGATGTGTTTCTCGTCCGTGGTTCTCTCCCTTTACCCCCCAGAGCAACGTTGTAAGGAACGGCAGCCTGCAGAGAGGTCAGCCAGAAGAGGAGGCTGGGGCGGTGGGGCTGAGCAGGGGCCTTACCCGCCTCGGCCCCAGCCTTTCCACCACCGGGCTCTCAGGCAAGCCACAAAACCTCCCAGAGTCAGTTTCCCCATTAGCACTCTGCGTGGCTACCATACCCGGCAGGGTGGACTCAAAGCATGCCCACCTGGTCCCAGTGAGTGGGTGGCAAGGGGTGGGGGGGCAGCAGTTTTCTTCCTTGGCCCCATTTCTGCCTCCCCTCAGGGCCCCAGAGGCTCCCGGGGGTGCTGAGCCCCTCTCAGCCCTGGGAGGGGGAGGAAGGAAGGGCAGAGTGAGGTTGGATGGGGCTCCTTGGCAGCTGATGGTGTCTCTGGGGAGGCGGAGATTACTGTCGGCCCCGCAGACTAGTGTCTGGGCCCCCACCACTGCGGAGGCCCGGGCGCAGTCTGGGAGGGCGCAGGGCCGGCACCAGCGTGCAGGGCAAGCGTCTGCTGAGCTTCCGGGGTCCCACCGCTCTCCGCCAGGGCAGCCCCGACCCTGAGGGCACGGTGGGGTGTGCGGAAGGCTGCAGGCATGGGGGCAGCCTTTCTCAGTCGGCCCTGCTGCGCCCTCCCCACGGTCCCACCTGTAGGTGGTGGCTGGCACGGGAGCACCGTCTGCGGGAAATTTGGTGGAGAAACTGATCGTCAGAGCACCCAGAAACACAACCCAAACAAAAATGAGCCCACCTTTCCCATTTCTGTTTTTCGGGGAAAGATTTTTCCCTCTGCCCTGTTTTGTCTTAAGCTGAGGAGGGAGCTAATGCACGGCTCTATTTCTGTGAGGCTGTTTGGAGAGCGGGAGCGAGATCAAAATAAGCGAAATAACAAAAGGCCCCCGCCAGCCAGCCCCTGCCTTTCTGGAGCACGGAGCGAGGCACAAAGGCCCGGAGGTGCGTCCTCAGATCCGGACCGGCAGCCCTCCTCTGCTTTGAAGGGCCAAGTCTCTCTTTCAAGCAGCTCTGACTGCACAACGGACAGGGCAGGGCGGTGGGATCTGCCTGAGGAGGGGGTCCGGGGGCCTCTTTTTTTAGTGGGAGCCATTGTTGAGAAGTTTCCATTGCTCTGCCCAGTCCCTTCCGAGGCTCCCCAGGCCGCAGACCTGTCTTTCCTCAGTGACAAACAGCCCTCTTGGGCTTGGTGGCACGGATAAAGAAGCTTGGGGGGGGTGAGGGATGGAGAGGCTGTACCCCACAAATCTCGGCCATGGATATCCACCCAGGAGCTCCAGGCCATCTTCTGGAGCCTCTGCTCAGAAGAAAGGTAAACACGGCCATTTGTCACTGACTTATAAGAACTGCGGTAGCAGCTGTTCCCCTTAATTAATACACCATTGACTTTGACACACACACACACACACACACACACACACACAAATCCCTTCGTTGAGGCAGGTGTGCAGACTTCAAATCCATTATCCTGTCGGCCTCCACCAAGGGAAGGGGCAGGGGAGTGGTCAGACAGTAACTTGGCCCAAGCGCTCCGAACAGCCGTCCTCAGGCAGCCAGGCCAGCTTCTCCACCCCTGTCCCCAGAGAAAGCTCTAGAGACAAGGAGAGAATCTGGACAGAGGAGCCCATGGTGCACCAGGGAAAAGAGGCAGAGGGGATGAGTGGGGGGGCAGCATGCCACCTGGTGCTGTACCTGAGCAAGCGGTGGGGGGTCGGGCGGGCACTCAGCATCCTCAGGACCAGCTCTGTCCTTTATTGGCTGGGACCTGGGGCTGACCAATCACTTTATCCCCATAGCAAGGGACGTTACTGAGAGAGAAATGGTAAAATGAACCAATACACGATAGCATTATGCTCCTAGTGAGCTGTAGCCCACTGAACGGCCACCACACCCCCATGCGGTAGGTGCTGCTGTTGTCCCCTTTACAGGGGGTGGGGGAAACTGAGGCACGGGTTGGTCAGTCAAATAATGGAGCTGCGGTTTGAACCCAGACACTCCAGCTCTGGAGTCTGTGTTCTCAAGCCCTGCTCTCTTCCCTTCTCCAAAGAAAGTAAGGGGAGCCACCCACGATTTGTTGAGCTGCGCTGGGTTCGCCAGAACAGTAAAACTACCTTGTCCCAGGGAAGAGCCAGGACCTCAGAGAGGCTCTAGGAGGCTCCTCTGACCCGCCCTCATGCCTGCCCCCACTCTGCTCAAGCCACACAGCTTGTGCCCTCGCCCTGACCAGCCCACGGCTGCCGCCAAGCCTCTGCATTTGCTGTTCCACCAGGTCAGCTCTTCCCCCAGGGCGCCACGTGGCTCCCTCCCTACTCTCATGGAGTCGGGGCCAGTTGAGGGCTGAGGCCCCCGGAACCACAAGGGCGAACCCCTCCACCCCGCAGCAGCGGTGTGCCGAGACTGCCGGCCACCATGGAGGGGCCGCCTCCCGCAGCAGGTTCCAGGCTGCAGGTGGGGACAGTCTGGAGCAGGGGCTGCGAGCAGGGGACTCAACAAGCTCTGAGAAGCAAGGGGAGCAGAGGTATTACTGGTGATTAACGCCCAATTTCTGAGCCGCTTCTGTTTAGGAAGGAGACGGGGGAAAGTACAGCAATTTTCTTCAATGAAAACAGGCAACAGAATTCCCTTTGCCTCCTTCCCCTTGCAATTAAGCCCTTCTCTGCAAATGAAATGATTTGGTTTTCATGGGGACTAATTTCAGCACACTGGAAGGGCCGCTGAACTTTCTGATTGCAAACACCAGCGTGTGCAAAACAGACTCCCCGACAGCCAGCGGTGCCAGGCTGGTGAGGTGGGCCCTGCCACGCAGCCCGGGCTTCAGGAGATGAGGCGGGCTGAGCCCAGGGGCGGGGGGTGTCCAGCTCTGCCCCCAAATCGGTGACGCTCTCCGTTCTCCATGTGGCCCACTGCGTTCCTTTCTCCAGACTCCACCCCCCACACGGCCCAGGTGAGGGAGTTGGACTGGAGCCAGGGTGGCAGATCGAGAAGCCTCAGACACAGCTGGTGATGGCAGCGAACTGAAGACGCCGCCCCTCCCGTCAGGAGATGGCATCTACTCTTCTGCTTTGAATCTGCGCCGGCTCTGCGACCGCTTTGACAGTGGCAGCCCAAGGCCTGACCATTTCCGCTTTCACCCCTTGGGCCCAGAGCCACCATGTAAAGTGGCCCAGCTGCCCTGCTGGACAAACCCTGGTGGGGACAGCTGCCTGCCTGCCTCCAGCACCCCCGGCTGGCACACCAGATGCATGAGTAAGCCACTTCCACCAGTCCCACGTGGAAAGGGATGAGCTGTTCCCACCCAGCACCGCTGACATGGCACTCACGGGTAAATGCACCATGGCTGTGTTAAGCCACTAAGTCCGTATTATTACCGTTATAGCTTTTTAATTTGAAATAGTTGAAGATCCACAAGAAGATGCAAAGAGAGTACAGAGATTTCTCATGTACCCTTCACCCAGCTCCCCCCAGTGATAATATCCCACATAATTGTGGCACATTGTCAAAACCAGGAAATTGATCTTGATCCAATACTACTAACTCAGGCACAGAACTTATTGAGGCACTTTGTGTGTGTGTGTGTGTGTGTAGTTCTATGAAATTTTGTCACATGGAACCACTAAGTTTTGGGGTGGTCTGTGACTCGTAATGGATAACTGACCCAGGCATGGACAAAATCCCCCAGGAGTGTGTATTACACAGCACCTTGGGTGGGCAGTGAAGAGCATTGCACACTAGACTCAGAA